TGCTTCCCCCTCTCCCACTAGGACCCTCAGTCCTCGTCAGTTTTCTAGGGTTCTTAGTTTGACTTTATCTGACCCTTTGTTTGGTTTTTCTATATCCCATCTATAATTCTCATCATCTGATGATTGCTTTCTCCTTGACTTATTTTGCTTAGCATAACCTACCAGCTCCTGCTGTTCATAGGATTTTGAACAACTTTGACCCTATTTTATATCTCCTAAGGAGGGAAGTTTTCCTATCCCCTGTTTCTCACATATATCTGTCATCTGAGCAATGGGAATATTAAGGCCTCCTCTGCAAAGATTTTTCTGATCGCAAAATGAATTAATGCAAACTCTGACAACTAACTCAAATTCATTATAAGGGGTCAGTGTTTCATAAAACTGAGGTGCATAAAATGACCTGTTTCCATCAGCTTGGGATCACTAGGTTCCATCTAAGTCTCTCTACTACCAAACCCTTTTCTATGATTAGAGGCTGGTCCATAAAAGAATATCCCAAGATTTATGAACCAACATTGGTCTGTCCAAAGCACCAGCTAAGACTGGCAGGGGCAACCTCTTGATGTTACTGCATTACTTATTCCTAGTTCTCTTGGGAGATATAGGAATAATTTTTGAAACAGTAGTAAGAAAAAACTTTCTGTTAAAATAATGAGCCTTCCTTATTTTGAGTTTTCCTTTGATGCTTGCCACCTCCCTCCCATTATGGCTCTTTGTCCACCATTGAAAAGGCCAATGTCCTCAATTTGTGCCCAGCTGGAAAGAGAACATTGAGCTGAAGAGTGCAAAGAAGCAAAGAAATCACACTGAGATGATATTTTCCTTTATGAGACATTTCAACAATTGTAACAGAGAGAATGTCTTATGAGCTGACCATCAGTTCTTTAAATATGGAAAATGTTTCCTGACTTTGGGGCAGTCATTATGCCCTTATATATTAGATGTCACTATAAAGCAAGGTGAGAGGTTTGTCCTATAGAAATAACATATTTAACATAAAGAAAGAAAATAAAAAGATAAAACGATTGCTTCCTAAATCAGATAGGGACCAAGAATCCTGCACATTTGGTAAGCGAGATGCATCCTTGATCCAGATACATTACTCTTATCCTCCTCTAATTCATTCTCTTTCTTTGCTGAAGAGTGCCTGATTTTTTGTATGATTTTGATACCTTCTTTTATGCCTTTAATCAATTTCAGCATACTTACTTTACAATCTCTACCAGCTTGTCCTATGATCCCAATATCTCAGAGATCTCTATTTGCTGCTGTTTTCTTTGCCTACTGCTGATACTAATGGTTTTTAATTTCATAACATATGGGTATGTCCTCAACAGGGCTTTATCTACAAGATTCTTAGGTGACCTATAGAAAACTCTGGCCCTTCAGAGTAGTTTGGGGTTTGCTCCTGTCTAATGACACATAGATATATGAGCCTGAGACCAAATCTGATTTAAAATTTTCAGTTCAAAATTGTCTGATCTTGGTAAAGAGAAAATAAAATCTCCAAGCTTGTAAAGCATAGTCTCAACTTGTCAGGGGAGACATTTTCCCCACTGTGGGCTAGGAAAAGACACCAGTTGGATTCTTTTCCCTAGGTTATCCTTTTAAGGGTCCCAATTTTGTGTGGGGTTGTCATTTCCAACTTGCTGACTTTCATGAAACCTTGAGCCATGTTGGTGTTAAAAACTAATCCCTTCCTTTCTGGAGACTAGGAACTGGTCTTCAAGGCATATACCTCATTTGGGTTCCCTCTTAGTACCTGGCACTTAAAAAAGAGTTCTTTACTTACAAGTTTAGCCATTTTTTAAAATTGTGTGTTTGAGATTATTTAAAATATCTTAACATTATTGGTAGGGGGGTTTTGGAGTTGTCTGGTCCACCATATGACTGGAAATGTTACTATCAATTTGTTTTCACATTGAAACCTAACAGAACTTTTCAATGTACAGATAAGATTTTGTTAACAGTCTTACTTAAAGCACTGGGATGAAAAAAAAAAATACTGGGGTGACTTCCCAATGATCTTAGAATGGGAATTGAAATCCATAACCCTACCAGATCCCATCCTCAAGTTACACCACATCCCTTCTGTGGTCTGTGTTCTACTCACACTGGAGTTCATCCAGTTTGTAGAATGTACTTCCTTGCCATAGCAATTTTGCATTCTGTTCTGTCCTCTCTATCTTCAGATATTGACTTAATTGTATTAGGACTATTGTCTACATAAATTTCCTCTGGCTATGGGTATTTTGGCTCAGATACTGTCCTGTATCATACCACAGTTGTGCTTTTACACTCATGTTTAATATTTTATTTTTGTTAATTATTATTTTATTGATATCTCTCTCACCCACTAGACTGAAAGTTCTATGAAGTTAGGTGCCATACCTCCTGCTGTTCACCATTTTTATTAGTCAGTAAATATAGTAGCAACTGCTGCATTTTCATTCACACACAAAAAACCATAAAATCTTAGAAATGTAACACCATAGGGCCTTCCCTTGTGGTGCAGCAAGTTAAAGCACAGCACTTTGAAGCAATAGCAGTCACTCCAGCACCAGTTATATTCCTAGCCAGGGAATGGACTCACATGGTGCGGCAGACCTCTCCTGACCCACCTGCTGCTCCCCTCAGCAATGTATTTCAGTTGATCTACCTGTTCTGCTCCCCACTCTGTCTCTGGTGAATCCTCTCACCCACCACACCTCTGTCCTGTACCTCAGTTCTTGTGTGCATAGATAAATAAATCTTAAAAAAAAAAAAGCACCACCATAAAAATGTGTTCTTTGAGTCATTTTCCAGTGCAAGTTAGACAGCTTTCCTCCAAATGAATCCCAGAGACCCAGATTGTTCCCCATATTCAACATGTTTCCATAAAGTCAGATCATGTGGGAGGTATTCATGAACCAGGCCAAGCATGTATAATTTCCACTCACACTTGCCCTCCTGCAAAAGAGTGAAATGTAGGTTACCTGTGTGCCCTGAAAGAAAAGGAAAAAGTAGTTATCAGAGAGCACTCTAGTCTCCTACATCACTGTATTTTTAACAAGAAGCAGTTTCTGGTTATAAGAAATTTTTGGTAAGCGTGGTTTGAGTGAATCAACAAATGGATGAGTAGAGGATGAATAGATAATGGAAGATGAATGAATGTTTTTCTTTTTGTCAGTTGGCAGCCCATTGACTCATAGAGCCTGTAAGTTCTTTGAGTATGGCATATAGAGACTATCTCTGTATTGTTCATTGTGATAGAGAAATTTTAACACCTACTAGGAATTCACCCAAGAATAAAGAGGACCACTACTTAGGAGATTTTCATGGAGGAGATAACCAGCCAGTGGGTCTTTAGTGAAGGGTATGGAAAGAAATTGGAAACGCAATTTAAGAACTGTGTTTGTGAAGGCCTGGAGTGGATAACAGAAGAGAAGTTAGTATGTGTGTACTTGAGAGTAATAATAAAGGACTATGGAGAACAGAGAATCTCATGGAGGTTCATGGAGAACAGAGAACCTCACCTGGTTAGTGTTGTCTAAACACTGTATCTGCCAAGTCCCAGACTTTGTCTTTTTCTCTTTTGATGTATTATGTAGCCTTGCACGTAAGAATCAGAGTGTCTCTTTAGTAGAATAGCCCCTTTCCCTGCCCATTGTGATCATTAGCATTTATAATAGGTAGTACATATTTGGATTGTTCAGAAGTTGGTACTCATGAAAGCACTTTGCCCTGGCCATGCAGAATGGTAAACCACACTAGTTCCAGCCCCAGCTGTCAGGCCAGGATTTCGCCCTAGCCTTCTCTAATCAATACATAGAACTGCCTGGTGCCATCGGGAGGGAGCTGCATTTAAAAAAATGAATAAAGTAGAAAGCCAAAATCTTTCCATTCTTTATGGTCTTTTCTGCAGCTTTCTGCTCAGGGATGGGAGCCACCTTGATATACTCAGCATGAGGGTGCCACCCTCCCCTGCGGGAGAAGGAGGTTGGGGCTACAAAAGTAGTCAGCCCTATGTTATAGGCTCCTGAAAAGCACTGTCTGAGTTAGTGACAGGGGAGCGGCTCTACCTCTGGGGCTACAGCAGTGCAGTGAGCTTTAGTGGATCAATACTTTAGTCTTGTCATGCTAATTGCTCATTGGTTGACATTCATGATCCTTCCTTGCTCCCTCCCTATGTAAACTCTTTACAGCTGGAACAGCGAGATGCAAAAATCCTGAGCCTTCAAAGCCAGCGCCTGCAGAAGAGAGAGGGCCTGGCAGCTGAGGTATGGTGCTCCCCCATTTTCTTACCCCCCTTTAAAAAGCTTCATGTGTGTCTGCATGGGGTGGTGTGATAGAAAGATGCACGAAGAAATGCCTGGGTAACTCTCCTGCAACATGTATACGGTATTACCTTTTCAGGACAAAACAATATCTTTCCTCATCTCAATCCTCCCTCCTTAACCCCCCTCCCCCCAAAAAAATCCCTAGAAAACAAACAAACAAACAAAAATACTGACCGCTTCAATGTGTTTGGTTTCAGTCCTTATGTTTTGGTCAATGTGTTGCCCTCCACCAATTCACGATGACCATATACTGCACTGACCTCTTTACTCCCAGACTAGGACATGTCAGGCTGCTGCTGCTGCTGTGTGTGTGTGTGTGTGTGTGTGTGTGTGTGTGTGTGTGTGTGTGTTGCATGCTCACACCTACCATATTGGCTTCCTGTCCCTGGAACATCAGTTTTTCTAGCTGGCTGAGCCTGTCCCTTACAACCACTGTTGCTACTGAGACCACCCCAACTCCTATCCTGTAAGCTCCAGGCCTGTGCTATGCAGGGTTTTGTTAAGCCATTTAGTATTAATTGATTTTTTTTTCCATTTTTTTTTCTTTCTTTCCCTGGGCGGGTCAATAGCTGGATGCTTCAGGAGCAGAGGATCTATCAACTGCAGCCAAAGCTTAGGGAGACGCAGGCAGACCAGGAACAGAAAGCCAGCCAGCTACAACCGCTCTGACAGTACTTGGTGGCCAGACAGTCGGCAGCAGGGAGCATGCCATGGGCCATGAGGCAGGAAGTGGCCCAAACCATGAGGTCCGGTAAGTTTCCTTGCTCTTGGAAAGTGAGGCAAATGATAACCAGGTCTTTCTTTCCATACTCAAAAGATCAGACAGCATTTTGACTGATTTCAGTTAATGAGTCAAGGATCAAAATAGGAGTCTGGGAGCTTGGAAGGGGTTGTGAGGGTGGAATGGGAATTTGTGGGATAGATGAGGGCTAACCAAACTCCGGTCCTAAGGTGAACCACTGTAGCCAAGCAGATGACCTGGTTACAGACCCCTACATCCTGTTAGCGATTTCCTCTTGGGGCTAAGAATGGGCTGGACCTACAGAGGACAAGAGGAGAACTGACACCCTCCCAGAGGGGCCATGCAACCCTAATCGGTGATAACAGTGTTAAGTGGTCAGCTTGGAGATGAGGTTTGCTCGGATCTATTGATCTACACTCCCTTGAGATATAAATTCCTCCTGAATTTGTTTCCATGGATATAAATATTTATAATTAAAATAGCCTAGGAGCCTCCTATAACACAGGCAGAGTGGCCCATTCCGTCTCCCTACTTTGAACCATCTTCTCAATCTTTCGCATCTATTTATACATCTTCGTTCTCTGTTTTGAGCCCCATCTTGTTCACCTTCTGAGTAAGAGGCACCGTATCGCAGACTGTCAGAAGCTGGGAAAAATCCATTCTTTCTAAATGCAGCCTCTAGCTGAGAGGTGGGTATCACTCACCCCAATCAAGGCTACACAGTTACATATGCACTCAGAAACCTAGACTCGAAAAAGGTGGGCATTTGGTGGGGGTGGGAATGGGGAAGTTGGAGGGAGAGGAGGAAGTAGACTTATTTAAGTGTGTCATTTGGTCATTAGTTTAGATCCATGAACAGTTAGGCAATGTAGCACAAATTTGTTAATTCCAGAACCCCATGTTGACACACTTGCAGTGTTAAATCTAGGAGAGCAAAGAAAGGCCCCACACTCTGTTTCTCATCCCCCTCATAAGCTCACATAAAGTGAACAGAGCATCCTTTACACTAGAGAATGGAAAAAGAAAGGGTACTGAGGATTTATTTGGAAGCAGAGCCCTCAAAGACAGCCAACAAGACCAAAGCCATTGACCAAAGCTAGGTCTATTGCATAAGGTATTTATACCATTCTTAATTTTTTTTAATTTGGGCAGTAAGGAAAATGTGCATGAAATCATTTGTTATGCTCCCCTAAGCCTATTATCTGCTCTGATGTCCAGATACAAATCTTTTACCTTACATCCATCATCATTTTTGGTATCCAGGTTACATTTTTTCAGTTTTGGAACTTGTGTTTTAATCAGCTGTCTGCCTTGTTTATATCTCGGACTGTGTGTCTTTGTGTATCTGCCCTCATCAGGTTTCATTAATTTGCAATTGAGGTCTACAAAATTGTTTAAAGACTTCTGAATCTTATACACGTGGAGAGTGTATGAATAAGTGTGGATGAATGCACTAAGACGTGGGGAGAATTCATGGGAGTTGTTTCTCCTGGTTTTCGAATGTTTAGTCCATCTGCGTGAATTAATACAAGTATGTCTGTGTATCTCTGCGCAGGTGTCTACGTGGAAGCAATAAGCATAAGTAGGGAGGGAGTAGCACCCCTGCAGTTCTCTCCCATGTGTTTTATCTGTGTCTTTCCAGGATGCACATTAAGCTTGGCACTTTTTTTTCTTTTTATTCCGAGGTGGTAGTTTCAGAACTCAAATCTAGCTCATTTGTCTCTTTCAGCAAATGATTGAGGGTTGAAGACTATTCCAGTTGGCAGTCAAGGGTCAGTATTTTGGACTCCATTTGGCTTAGATAATTTATATAGAATAAAAGTCTAACAGGTATAATCACAAAAGCTTTGACTTAAGAATGTTTCTAAGCATACTTGAGGTTGAAAAACACTTCAAGCTAAAAATGGAAGAATGTTCTGGTTAGTAACTTGTATGCTTCTGTGGTAATGGAGAGAATTGGAATGCAGTTCTCTTTGTTTGATTTATATGGTGATTCCCAGAATGTGAAAGGTATATTTACTATAGAAATAAACTTTCAACATTGACCTAGAGAATGAAAGGCCCATTGTAATACTTAAACCCTTCTCTGCTGGGTTATAACGAAAAGAATAATTAATAACAACATGTACATTTTTGGGAAGGAGAATCCTGATAATGTCATCTTTCTCCCATTATTTACAATATTTGCTACCATTTGCTTGCATGTTGAAAAACAAGCTTATTTGGAGAAAGTGATCTAAATTTTAAAACTGAATGCACTCAATTAAATATATTTTCTTTAGATCTTAGTGCTACTAAATCTAAATAGTACATACATAAATTCCTTGTTTTCTTGTGTTACTGTTCCATCAGGTCATATTTGAAAGCTTATTGTCAAACATAGTGACATGACTTGTTTGTGGAATAATCTGGCTTCTGGTTACTTAGGATTACAAGCTTCTATAGTTTCAGTCTTGTAGGAATTAAACTCCTATGTAATATATCTATTCATCTGCTATAATTGTCTTCTATAGTTTTATATATACAAGTATATTTTTCAATCCCATTTATCTAAAAAATTTTATATTCAATGCATTTTATAATGCAAGGATAGAAATATCTCACTATTTCTATATTCATTTCTATACAGTGATAGTGATATTTCATGTTATTTTCACATTAATAATCCATCTATTATATTTATTATATTTCTAACCTTTCTGAGCATCTTGACATACTTATTTGATCCTTAAAGAAAACTTAGGTGATAAGTTTGAGCAAGAGTCATTATGAACGTTTCCAAAAAGAAATGTGCAAGGGTGACATAGGCATCAGTGGCAGACTTGAATTTCTGGCCTGAAGTCATAGACTGTCAGTCAAGTGCTTTCTCCAAAGCCACCAGCAGCCTTCATTCATGCTTGGTAAAATTCTGACATATTCTATATTTCCGGCACCTATTACACCCATTGAGATGCTCCTAAGGCAAATGTTAGTTGATCTTAAATGACCATGAGCATTCTTCTCATGCAAGAAAAGGTGACAAATACATATTTCAAGTACTTTCTTTGTCCTTTATCGTATCGCCACTGGCTGCCAAGTCTGATGTCCTGACAAACCTTTTTTGTTAGGCTCAGAAATTTTGAGTTATTAACATGCCTAATCCTTAGGTTTGCTCCCCAGGAATACGTCCCTAATAACAGAGTGAGTATATCTTACTATAGTTCACAATACTATTGTGTACATATTATTCTCCATATCTACCAGCAGTTTCTTTTAAAGGAATATGATGTATAATTTGAAGCATCAAGGTGAAACACTTTGAAGTCAAGCATAAAATTTTCCTTCCCTGAAATAAGTATTGCTTCTCCCCCAACATTCTCACCAGATCAGATACCCTAAACCTGTCATAAACCTGAATCCTAGGGATGTCTTCTCAGAATAATTCATTTAATGTATAAAATAAAATATAGAGAATTATAAAGAAAATCAACTTACCTAGAAATTCAGTTATCAAAATAATGCCAATTAAATTTTAAAATCACAATCTGATATGATATATACACATTTAATTAACATAATGATAAGGTCGAGTAGTAAATCAACTAATTCTAAAGTAGCAATGAGCATAAAGGATATTTTGAGATTACCTGTGATACAAAAGTAGCTGTGATTTCTGTTAATGACATCGTCACTGGTATCACTGCTGGTGTCCTGTTACCACTACTGTGGGTTTTGTATTCTGCAGGTATAATTGAAGGAAACACTAAATTGTTTCAATATTAGCGAAAGTACAGTTATGGGGTTTCCCCCCCCCATCCAATTTCATGGGCCCACTGAAATCTGACTATGGTCTCTTTAGGAATTAGTGGGTGCCAGGTTAAGAACCACTACTAGTAGCTAGTTCCTACTCATTTTTAAAAATCAACAGCACCATGGTCTCCTATAAAGAGCTCCAACTCTACAACATGACACTTAGCATGCAGCACTTCTATATCAATTTATTTCTCTGTCCCTCCAGAAGAATACACACGCTTGAGAGCATGGGTTAGGGCTGATGTTTCTCTTACCTAGCACGTCTGGCACACAACAAGAGCTCATAAGTACTGAAGAGGAGGAGGGAAGAAAATTCAAAGACAGGGAAGCCGTAAATCACAGAAAATTAAAATTAACTGGAAAGTTAACTAAATAGCTACAATATTTGCTTGCGCCACATTTTCCATCAATGGCACCTTCCTTACCCAACCAGTGAAGTTGCCATGTGGAGTTAGTGTTCTTCCCTTTTAGTGCAGCCCTCACTTATAGACTTCTAGAAGCACCATAATCCCTAACTAAAAACCTAATAATAATATCTCAGTTTCAAAGCTGTTTCTTTTCTTTCAGTTTCTCATTAGCACAAATAAGGGAAGGCAGCAGTAGGGACATGGAGAGAGAGGGCTTGAGATTTTACCAGTCAAATTAAAGAAGCCAGATAAGGCCCTCCCTGGTGGTGCAACGTGTTAGGACCCAACACTGCAGGCTAGCTGCAGCCATTTCTGTCTGAGTTGGATCCCCCGAGGTGTCCCACATGGCGCGGCAGACCTCTCCTGACCTGCCCACTGCTCCCCTCAACAGTGTACTTCATAGATCTTCCTGTTCTGCTCCTGGCTCTGTCTCTGGTGAAGTCTCTCACCAACCCTGCAACTCTGGCTTGTACCTCAGTTCTATATGCATAAATAAATAGATCTTAAAAAAAAAAGCCAGATGAAATGATTTTGATTTTAAGGTACATATACAGATGTGTATATTCTCAATAAAACTCTGAACTTAAAAATTGATAAGATTTCTCTGGAAAATAGTTGTATTACTTTTAAAGGCCTCTTAAGTCTCTAGTACAAATGTTTTGTGAGGATAAAGATGCATGCACACAAGAAGATATACATTCATCCATGAACTCAACTTCTTAATATTAATGTCACATTAAAAATCAGCGTTTATTCATGCTTATTGACTTAATTTTCTATTCATCTCTTCCTTTCCAGCACTAAATACTT